TGCCCAGCTGATTTTTTGTATTTTTAGTAGAGACGGGGTTTCACCATGTTGACCAGGATGGTCTCGATCTCTTGACCTCGTGATCCACCCGCCTCGGCCTCCCAAAGTACTGGGATTACAGGCGTGAGCCACCGCGCCTGGCCCATTATTTACAATTTAATAGCATTAAAAAATTTTGTGCAATGTACTTATTTAATGTAGCTCACTTAATGATTCAGGTAAAGTCAGAAGACCACTCTTGTGGACCTATTATTTTAAAATCTTACTGTCTTGTTTCCTACATCATAATGAATATCATGTTTTCTCTTTCCTTGATCAACTTCTAGAAAACCTATTCTCTAAAATGTATTGCTTTACATAAAATACATTTCAGCCTTTTCCCCCTTGATTGCTGTGGTGAAATAACATTCTAATAGCTTCCACAATGTGAAGTTTTTACCATTTCTATTTTGTTCTTCAGGCTGCAAATCTGCTCCACCCATCAAGAATTTTCTTTAGAATAAAGATAGGGCACTTTGCCAGGAACAGGGCCGGAACTGCAATTAATAGGTAAAGGTTAATGGTGAAAGTGACTTTACAGTAAGTAACAATATTCAAATTGAGAAGAAGAAATCAAAATACAAGATAGGCAAAGATTTTAAGAAAATACTCATCTGCTTATAATTAGTTCAGGTTTTGTGACATGGATGAATTATATTTCTGAGGACTGACAGTGTCTTTGAATAGAATTGCAGAGCCACTCTGGGTTATGTTTGAAGACATGCACAGAGTAATAGGATAATGTACAAATGCCATTTCATGTATAAATTGCCCATAAATTACAACCGATGAGCTTAATTTCAATCCCAGACAAGATTTAGAATATATTATGAAAGAATGGTTTGTAGGGTTATATTAGACAAAACAATAACCCTTGGACCAATTTTATGTTCATGAGACCAAGCATGTAGGCTTTGCCATTTCATTTTATGTAGGATTACTAGATCCAGGGACCATATTAGGCATAGAATATATGGACTTTAAGAAAACATTTGACAAACTTTGTCATAATAGTCCTGAAGACAGTATGCAATAAATATAGGCTGGTAACAAGATAATTGGATAATTTAATGATCAGATTAAGAGTTGTACCTGAAATGTGCTGAATAATAGAACAGTATCAACCAAGGTGATATTACATGCAGTGGGGTTCTGTCCTCAACTTTGTCAATTCAACATTTTAAAATCAATGAGTTAGATAGATAAAATGACTTATAAGGATCAACTTTGCAAAAGACATAAAACTTACAATTTTCTGGATACCAATGGCAGTAACTAAGGCAATAACCAAAGGCAATAATTATGTCTAAGACATACATATCTATGTTATATACTCAAATATATGAGTCTAAGATAATATAAGATGTATATTTTTATATATTTTATATATTTTTATATATTTACATTTATATCTGTAGTTCTATACTTGGATCTGAAATGCCAAATGCTCACATAATAGAATGGGAAGTGTTGGTTGCAAGGAATAGGTGGCTTAAGAGAGAAAAGAGAAAATAATAGAGGAATATTGGGCATGAATTCCAAATGGCAAGTGGGACAGCCAGATCTGAAGAGGGACTGGTGAGGAACTGGAAGATTTTTTGCTATCTTAGTGGCTGGTTCCTAATTATCTGTTTCTGGAGCTACAGTGTCCTCGTCTCAGCTTCTGTCTGTGTGTCTACTCATTCATCTCAGATTTTAGTTATGTTACTTATTCTGTATCTTGTACATGACATTTTCTGTCTTATGGCTATGCCAAAGGTGACCTAAGCGCCTGAATCTTCAACAGTTTCAGGCCCAGTAGGCTCATCCCAGCTTGGGCTTGGTTCTTTTGGGTCTGATGTCCAATCCTGGTTCACCAAGTCAGCCATGGCTTAGGTAGATGGGTGGAGGGAGTCTACATTGCCAAACATAGGAGCCAGGCCTGTGGAAAGTGTATTCTCTAAAATGAAAACAGAGAAAGGAAATAGTTGGTATATTCAGTATAATGAGACATTGGTTTGCACTGCAATATTTTTAAAATCAGGGGTTTTATTTAACATAAAGCCAGTTAGAGTATATAACAGCAGAATATAATTGCTAAAAATATGGAAGACCAATGAAATCTAAGGCTGCATTAGAACATATTACAATCATATTAGTAATAAGATACTAGAATGAGAGAAGTTTGAGTCTTCTCTTATTCTATTTTAGTGAGACCAGCCACACTAAACTATTCCATTCTGGGCACCATACTTTAAAGCACATGTAGAACACTGGAAAAATTTTAGAGAAATCTTGAATGAGGAAGAAATTCAGCCGAAGGAATTGTAAGTGTTGGCCTGGAGAAGAGAAGACATGGAGTGTTCCTGATAGCTGTCTTCAAATATTAGAAAGACCTTCATGTGAAAGAGGCTGGGGATGTCCCACATAATTTCTAAAAGGACTGGGATCAGTGCACAATTCAGGGAGGCAGATTTGGGATGAGCCTGAGAAAGGATTTCCTGAGAGACACAACTGGCAGAAGATGGAACAGACTGCTTTAGAAAGTAGTTTTCCTTCATTTGGGATGTTAAAATAAAGGATAGGCAACAACATATTTAGGTTAAATAGATTGATAACAATTGAATTCATCTAGAGCTTGAACCAGGTTATCTTTTTATAATTACTTTTATAATTACTTTTAAACAAGATGTTTAATAAATCTATACATTTGATAAAGTGGCAGTTGGATAGTTGATACAGTCATCAATCGGTATCCCACAATACTGTATTATGGTTTTTAATTTAAAATATTTATTATTAAAGTTTAAAGGATCCAAATTTTACTTTATAAAAATGTGTTATTGTTTTCTTCCAGTTGACATTTGTGTAATGACATTGGTAGGCAGATATGGCAGCATCATTGTTAGTTACAGAACAGTTTCTATAGTTTTAAGGGAGGTTACTTTAAGAGTAAATACTTCTTGGGGAGTTGGAGAGAGATAGCATGGGGAGAAATGCCATATATAGGTGATGGGGAGGAAGGCAGTAAATCACACTGCCATATGTGTACCTATGCAGCAATCTTGCATGTTCTTCACATGTACCCCAAAACCTAAAATGCAATAAAAAAAAAAAGAGTAAATGCTTCTTGGGTAATCCAAGAGTTAATTTCAAATTTAGTGCCCCCGATCAAGTATTTTATGAAGCCATCTATCCTTTGTGAATAGGAAAACGAGCAGAGGCTACTAATAAATATTTATACCTGAAACAGAGAAAAGAATCATCTCCCTTCTAACTTGGCTAAATTTCATTTTTCACTGGCCCTATGCTGTCCAGAAGTCATACAACACTTTATCTGAAGGAAAGAAGAGGATATAGCCAATATACATGTGATAGATAAATATAATACAGATGGATAAAGGCACAGGTGCTGGTTTTAAATAGACCTGAGTTTTAATCCCAGCTTCTCCACATATTATCCATTAATTTCAATAGTTTCAATTACCTACTAAGAACTGACTTGGGGAGAAGAGATTAGGTTCAAAGTATTTTTCCTGTTTGTAGATTTATGACAGAATGTTAAATTCTGTAAAAATCATAAAATGCCAAAACTGAACAGAAACACAGTTCATTTAGTGTGATGCCATAATTTTACAAATGAGGAAAATAAGATCTGAAAAAGCCATGGGAACAGAGTAGTTTGCAATGAAAGAACTGTAATTTCCTCCCACTTTGTGGAAAATTCATCTTAAAGCCAGAATTATAAAGATTATAAATTTTTCTATTTTTAATTTTATTTTATGGAAAATATTTCAAGAGCAAATCTTTCTTAGAGATTGCATGGAGAAACAATTGCTCTGAAAGATCTTTTTCTAATCCCAAGATTTTGTGTCAGACTCAATATGCCAGTTTTAAATTTTTTTATGTAAATGTGGGCAATGTCATAATTATTGCTCCAAGGCATAGTATGCTATGTATGTACTTCATTCACCCAGCATGGTTACAATATCTTCAGTTGAACTTTATTTTTTAGGACCAAAAAAAAAAAATAGTAAGTGTATGTTCTGTTTCTAGATGTTGCCTGAAGACAAAGTTTGTAAGTACTGTGGAGTCAGCTATCTAATTCTTCATGAATTTAAGGCCATGGAAGAAAAAGTGAAAGCAATGGAAAAAGAAATGAAATTTTATCAAGGAAGTGTAGAACGTGAAAAGAGACTTCAAGAAAAAATTAAGTCTCTTAGCCAAGATCTTGAACAGTACAAAATTGACAACAAATCCAAAACAGAAAGGTTAGAGTATGTTTTTCTTTTTTATCATTTATTTAGTTGAAAGAAAACTATAAGAAATAAGTAGACTTTGAATGTTATTATAAAATTTCTTTATATCAGGTATAATTTATACTTTAATATATTTGTTCCTTAATTATATTAATAATTACTAAATATAATTGTTATAGTTTGATTTCTTTATAGGCATGTATTTACTGTCTGAAAAACTAGAAACCAATTAATTTAGTAACCATAATCTGAAATGTTCATGTTTTTTCCCCAGGTACATATCTTATGTTTTATTATTAGGAAAATTTACCAAAAATCAGATGAATTTTGGTAGTTTTTCATAAATTTATTTTTAAATGGCTTAGAATTTTTAGATTTATAGGGTAAGGCTTTCATGTTTTGAAAAAGATGCCAAGACATTAAAATTAGTATATGATTTTAAATTAATGGAATTGAAAAAAAAAAAAAGATTAGGCCTCTAATATTGTAGAATCTTATTAGCAATCTAGTCTTCCTAAAGGCACTTCAGTGAGCCTATACAGACATTTATACAGAAGAGTTTTGCTGGTGTTTTATAGTTTTTCCTGTGAGTGAAAAATTTCTTGATTTAAAGTATTGACAGTTGATGTTCAGACACCTTGAGTTAGTGAATTTAATGAATTACATGTCTATGTAAAGTGGAAACTTGCTTAAATCTCTTCAGATTAAATACTTTCATTAAATTTTACTATAAAATGTTATATAAAAGTATTTAATTACATTAAATGCCAGTTGAGCCAGATATTTCTTAGTCTTTTACCAAAAAAATTATGTTGTTATAGTTTCTTTAATTTCAAATCTGAATAATATTTTATGATATTTTCATGGAAGAACTTAAAAATTTGAAGTATTGTTTAAAATTTCTAATTTGGATAGTGTTTGCCTGTCAGGGAGTCTTTTGTTTGGTATATTCACACTTTACTTTCTTTAATAAAATTTTAATAAAATGTTGCATTATACATGCAATACATAAACATATGAAGTAAAAGAAGTACAGAAAATCATAAGACAAGAAAGTCTTTGTACCCTGCTGATTGTACTATTACTGGTACCTTGCTAATTGTGCTTGATTGTATTCTTATTGGAGGTAAAAAATCACTATTTTTTATTTTTGTTTTTGAAAAGGAATCTCCCTCTGTACTCAGGCTGGAGTGCAGTGGCATGATCTCAGCTCACTATAGCCTCCGCATTCCAGGTTCAAGGGATTCTCTTGCCTCAGCCTCCCAGGTAGCTGGGATTATAGGTGCACACCACCACGCCTGGCTAATTTTTTTGTACTTCTATTAAATACGGGGTTTCACCATGTTGGCCAGGCTGGTCTTGAACTCCTGACCTCAGGTGATTCGCCCCCTAACCTCAGGTGATCTGCCCACCTTGGCCTCCCAAAGTGCTGAGATTATAGGCATGAGCCACTGCACCTGGCCAAAAATCGCTTTTAATGATTTGGTGTATGTCTTGCTAGATCCTTCATTGAACCTTTACCTTATTACAAATGTATTTCCTTTGTCTTTTTTTTTT